GTGCCCACACCTGGAATCTAGACCCGTGAGGGCTTCCTGGTCTGTCAGGACGTCCCTTCCCTCTTCCAGGCAGAACCACCACAGTCAGTCAGACAGGGAGTAACCTGCATTCCCATGTCCTTTGTCCATAAAGGGTCAACCATCATTTCTGGAGAAATAATTACATAATACAATATTAAGGCAATTTTCATAACTTGTCACCCCCTGTAGCTATTGCAGAAACCTTATCAATCCCTGCACAATTTCAGTAAGTATGACTGATACGTAAGTAAGAGGCACTACGGCACTAAGTTCTCTCGGATGGCAAGGCACTGGCTGACATAATTGCATCATATGGGAATAAAGGCCCATTTGCAGTTTCCTTCAGTCCCTCACTTCATCTCCAGGAAAGAATCTCAGTCTGGGAATAGTTGTCTTTTCTTTGGTTTTGCTTTTGGTCGGTCATGGGAGCTGAACTCTGGGCCTGGGCGCTGTCCCTCAGCTCTTCAGCTCAAGGCTAGCTCTCTACCACTTAGCCACAGCGCCACTTCCAGCTTTTTTTCTTTTTGCTTATGTGGTGCTGAGGAATCGAACCCAGGGCCTCAGGCATGCAAGGCAAGCCCTCTACCACTGAGCCACCTTCCCAGCCCCAAACTGTATTTTCTTGTTTATTTCAATTAGCATTGTATCCTCCAAGGCCATCCATATTGTAGCATATTTCAGAACTTTTTTTATCCTTTCATTTTGCTTCAAATTAAAACAAGTAAACCCTTTTTTACATAAATGCACCAAGGTAACATAACACCAGAGTGCAGCCCAGAATAGTCTCTGGCACAGCCTGCGTGTGCTGGTCTTTGGCCTGTCCCCGAGGCTGCCCGAGCAAGGATGGTGTTTGGAACAAGGAGCTCTCAGCTGGATCTATTGACTGCCAGATAAATTGCAGAACATTATTTAGTTTTCTTTGCCCAAAGAGAATCTAAATTGTGCTGAATCAGAGGAACTATAAACTGTGTTGGCTTTTAGATATTTTACTTTCTTTCCTGGATGCTCAAACAATAAGCACAAGTTTAAAACTGCTTTTCTGAAAAATAAATACAAATGAGTTGACAAAGTTTGCATACAAACTACCTCAGACTTTCAAGTCTAGGACAGTATAGTGAATTTTTTTCCTGCTAGTCCTGGAGCTCCAACTCTATGCTCGGGCACTGTCCCTGAGCTCCAAGCTAGTTGTCTACCACTTGAGCCACAGCACCAATTCCAGCTTTGTTTGTTTGTTTGTTTGGTTGGTCATGGGGCTTGAACTCTGGGCCTGGGTGCTGTTCCTCAGCTCTTCAGATCAAGGCCAGCGCTTTACTGCTTGAGCCATAGCGCCACTTCCAGTTTTCTGGTGGTTTATTGGAGATAAGACTCTCATGGACTTTTCTGCCCAGGATGGCTTTGAACCATGGTCCTCAGATCTCAGCCTCCTGAGTACCTAGGATGACAGGCATGAGCCACCAATGCCCAGGCTAATTCCAGCTTTTTCTGTGATTAATTGGAGATAAAAGTCTCAGTGGGCTGGGCGCTGGTGGCTCACACCTGTAATCCTAGCTACTCAGGAGGCTGAGATCTGAGGATCTCGGTTCAAAGCCAGCCTGGGCAGGAGAGACCGTGAGACTCCTATCTCCAATAAACCACCAGAAAACCGGAAGTGGCGCTGTAGCTCAAGTGGTAGAGCGCTCGCCTTGAGCTGAAGAGCTGAGGGACAGTACCCAGACCCAGAGTTCAGACCCCATGACCGGCAAAAAGAAAAAGTCTCAGTGGTAGAGTGTTTGCTTTGCATGCATGAGGCCTGGGTTAGATTCCTCAGCACCACATAAGCAGAAAAATCAAGAAGTGGCGCTGTAGCTCAAGTGGTAGAGCGCTCGCCTTGAGCTGAAGAGCTGAGGGACAGTGCCCAGGCCCAGAGTTCAAGCCACATGACCAAAAAAAAAAAGTCTCAGTGGTAGGTGGCTGGGAAGGTGGCTCAGCGGTAGAGTGCATGCCTTGCAAGCATGAGGCCCTGGGTTCAATTTCTCAGCACCACATAAACAGAAAAGGCCAGAAGTGGTGCTGTGGCTCAAGTGGTAGAGCACTAGCCTTGAGCTGAAGAGCTGAGGGACAGCACCCAGACCCAGAGTTCAGACCCCATGACCGGCAAAAAGAAAAAGTCTCAGTGGTAGAGTGTTTGCTTTGCATGCATGAGGCCTGGGTTAGATTCCTCAGCACCACATAAGCAGAAAAATCAAGAAGTGGTGCTGTTTCTCAAGTGGTAGAGCGCTAGCTTTGAGCTGAATTGCTGAGGGACAGGGCTCAGGCCCCACAACCGACAAAAAAAAAAAAAAAACAGACAAAAATAAAATAAATAAAGTCTCAGATTTTCCTGCCAAGCTAGCTTCAAACCAGATCCTCAAATCTCAGCCTCCTGAGTAGCTAAGAGTACAGATGTGAGGCACTGGTGTACAGACCCTTATCTCCAATTAAGCTATGGCTCAAGTGGTAGAGCCCTAACCATGAGCAAAAATTTCAAAGAGCTAGAGCACTGGTAGCTCAATTCTACAATACTAGGTACTCAGAAGGCTGAGATCTGAGAATCACAGTTTGAAGCCAGCCAGGGCAGAAAAGTCCCCTAGACACTCAAAAAGCCACTCAAAAAACTAGAAGTGGAGCTGTGGCTCAAAGTGGTAGAGCAAGCCAGCTGCTGGTGGCTCACGCCTGTAATCCTAGCTATTCAGGAGGCTGAAATCTGAGGATCATGATTCAAAAGCCAGCATGGACAGGAAAGTCCCTGAGACTTTTTTTTTTTAGGTCAGTTGTGGGGCTTGAACTCTGGGCCTGGGCGCTGTCCCTCAGCTCTTCAGCTCAAGGCTAGCGCTCTACCACTTGAGCTGCAGTGCCACTTCCAGCTTTTTCTGCTTATGTGGTGCTTGGGAATCAAACCCAGGGCTTCATGCATGCAAGGCAGGCACTCTACCACTGAGCCAACCAGAAAACCAAAAGTGGTGCTGTGGCTCAAGTGGTAGAGCACTATCCTTGAACTGAAGAGCTCAGGGACAGCACTCAGGCCCAGAGTTCAAGCCCCATGACCCACAAAAAAAAGGAGGGGTAGAGCACCTTCAGCAAAAGATCTCAGAAATAGCACCCAATCCCCAAAAGCAAGCTCCACAACCAATAAAAATAAAACAAAAATTAAAACAGTAACTGATGGTACTTCTAGAAATGACGCTTCTTACAGTGGGTTAGGATAAAAGCCATGTCTTTGTAAAATGTCACATTTTTGTTTTGTTTTGTTTTGGTTTTTGGTCGTGGAGCTTGAACTCTGGGTCTGGGTACTGTCCCTGAATTCTTCAGCTCAAGGCTAGTGCTCTACGTATGCTTGAGCCATAGCACCACTTCCAGCTTTCTAGTGGTTTATTGGAGATAAGAGTCTCACAGTCTTTCCTGCCTGTACTGGCTTTGAACTGTGATCCTCAGATCTCAGCCTCCTGAGTAGCTAGGATGACAGGCGTGAGCCACCAAGGCCCGGCTTATTTATTGGTTTTGAACAAAGAGATAATCTCCAAAGTAAGTTGTGGGAGATAAAAGGCAGTTGGATTGCTTCATCAAAATATCCAATGAGCCCAGAATGGTGGCCACACTTTTAATCCTAGCGCTCAGTAGCTAAGCCGGGATTGCTAAGAGGCCATGGATCACATAGTAAGACCTCATCTCAAAAATAAATAGAGGGGGCTGGGAAGGTGGCTCAGCAGTAGAGTACTTGCCGTGCATGCATGAGGCCCTGGGTTCGATTCCTCAGCACCACATAAGCAGAAAGAAAAAGCCAGAAATGGTGCTGTAGCTTAAGTGGTAGAGCGCTAGCCTTGAGCTGAAGAGCTGAGGGATAGCGCTCAGGCCAAGAGTTCAGGCCCATGACTGGACCCCCCAAAAAATAAATAAATAAAAATAAATAAATAGAGGGCTGGAAAGGTGGCTCAGTGGTAGAGTACTCGCCTAGCATGCATGAAGCCCTGGGTTCAATTCCTCAGTACCACATAAACAGGAAAAGCCAGAAGTGGCGCTGTGGCTCAAGTGGTAGAGTGCTAACCTTGAGCAAAAAGAAGCTCAGGGACAGTGCCAAGGCCCTGACTTCAAGTCCCAGGACTGGCAAGATTAAAAAAAAAGTAAACAAAAATTAAGCAGCAATATCAAAAAACATAGTGTTATCAGCAACTCAACAAAGCAAAAAACGAAAAAGAATTATTTTAGGGAGTTGTTGTTGTTGTTGTTGTTGATTTTGCAGGGATGGGAACTTAGTCGTGGCCTTGAATTTCCCAGGCAACAGTGCTGCCACTAAAGGAACTCCCTCAGTCTTTTTATTTGTTTATTTATTGCTTCCTTTTATTTTTCAAAGATCTCCTGTTTTTTTATTTTGTCAGTTGTGAGCCTAGGCACAGTCCCTGAGCTTTTTTGCTCAAGGCTAGAACTTTACCAGTTTGAGCCACAGTTCTACTTCTGGTTTTTTAGGTGATTAATTAGAAGTAATATTCTCTGGCCTTTCCTGCCCAGGCTGGCTTTGAACTGCTATCCTCAGATCTCAGCCTCCTGAGTTGCTAGGATGACAGGCGTGAGCCACCGGCGCCCGGCTTCCCATGATGGCTTTGAACTGCTATCCTCAGATCTCAGCCTCCTGAGTTGCTAGGATGACAGGCGTGAGCCACCGGCGCCTGGCCCACCAGACTCAACTTTAAAAAAACCTTTTTCTCCTATATGTGTGTGTAGGGCTGGTGCTGTGTGTATGTGCCTTCACCAGGTGAAGACAGAGGTGAGCCCCATGGAGAACAGCGATGCTGGTGTTTGAGTTACTCACTGCCTTCACCAGGTGAGGACAGAGGTGAGCCCCATGGGTGTCTTTTTCCTCCCAGTGGGGAACAGCGATGCTGGTGTTTGAGTTACTCACTGCCTTCACCAGGTGAGGACAGAGGTGAACCCCATGGGTGTCTTTTTCCTCCCAGTGGGGAACAGCGATGCTGGTGTTTGAGTTACTCATTGCCTTCACCAGGTGAGGACAGAGGTGAGCCCCATGGGTGTCTTTTTCCTCCCAGTGGGGAACAGCGATGCTGGTGTTTGAGTTACTCACTGCCTTCACCAGGTGAGGACAGAGGTGAACCCCATGGGTGTCTTTTTCCTCCCAGTGGGGAACAGCGATGCTGGTGTTTGAGTTACTCATTTCCTTGCTTTTTTTTTTGGGCTGTGAGATGCACAGGTCCAAGCAGCGCCTCTTTGGTTTTGAAGCACTGAGAACCAGGCCCAACCCTCGGATGGTCAGGAAAGGTCAAGGTGTCAGCTTTCAGGCTCCTGGGAGTCATAAGAATCCTGGTAGGGCAAGGTTAGAAAAAAAAAAAAAACCAAAAAAACCTTTTTCTCCTAATTCTTCTCAGGGCCAGTCATCAGTGGCCCGTGTAATCCCTACTACTCAGGAGGCTGAGCTGCCTGCCAGATCATTCCTGCACAGCTTCAAGGCTGAGCTGCCTGCCCAGATCATTCCTGCACAGCTTCAAGGCTGAGCTGCCTGCCCAGATCATTCCTGCACAGCTCCAAGGCTGAGCTGCCTGCCCAGATCATTCCTGCACAGCTCCAAGGCTGAGCTGCCTGCCCAGATCATTCCTGCACAGCTTCAAGGCTGAGCTGCCTGCCCAGATCATTCCTGCACAGCTCCAAGGCTGAGCTGCCTGCCCAGATCATTCCTGCACAGCTCCAAGGCTGAGCTGCCTGCCCAGATCATTCCTGCACAGCTTCAAGGCTGAGCTGCCTGCCCAGATCATTCCTGCACAGCTTCAAGGCTGAGCTGCCTGCCTAGATCATTCCTGCACAGCTTCAAGGCTGAGCTTGGCTGTGCCCAAGTTGGCCTAGGCCAGGTATGAGGAGCCTTCACTACTCCTGCTCTAAGAAGCAATCTACAGCCACACCTTGACCCACCCAGTCTGCAGATCTGAGTCACCAGGGCTGTCCAAGACTTGCTGCTCAGTAATTAAGAGAAAGCCAAAGTAACAGAAGCAGGGCAAAGCCAAAACCAGCCTCTGGAATGCTCATCACTGTTGGAAGGCTGCTCAGGGTGTCTGTACCAGCCAGTGGGAACTTGGAGAAGCCCTGACCTCTCTGGTCCTGCTTTTTTATTTCTGGGACACCAAAGCCATACTAAATATAAGCTGGGCGCCGGTGGCTCACACCTGTCATCCTAGCTACTCAGGAGGCTGAGATCTGAGGATCTTGGTTCAAAGCCAACCCAGGCAGGAAAGTACATGAAACTCTTATCTCCAGTAAACCACCAGAAAACCGGAAGTGGTGCTGTGACTCAAGCAGTACAGCACTAGCCTTGAGCTGAAGAGTGCAGGGACAGCACCCAGGCCCAGAGTTCAAGCCCCACCACCGACAAAAAAAGGGGGGGCTGGGAAGATGGCTCAGTGGTAGAGCGCTTGCCTTGCATGCCTGAGGCCCTGGGTTCGATTCCTCAGCACCACATAAACAAAAAGAAAAAAGCCAGAAGTGGCGCTGTGGCTCAAGTGGTAGAGCGCTAGCCTTGAGCTGAAGAGCTGAGGGACAGCGCCCAGGCCCAGAGTACAGGCCCCACGACCAGACCCAAAAAAAAAAAAGAAAGTCTCACAGACTTTGCTGCCCAGCTGTGTTCAAACCATGATCCTCAAATCTCAGTTTTCTGAGTAGCTAGGATTACAAGCTTGTGTTGTTGGTGCCAACTATTTATTCTGGGTGGGTTTTTGTTTTTGTGAAGTGCTAGGGTTGGAGCCCAAGGTCTCATGCATGCTGTGCAAGTGTTGTACCACGGAGCTGCCCCCTACCCAGGCCTGCATCTGAGTCTTGAAGAAGGAATTCGCTGGGCTGAGAATAGAAAACAAATCCAAGAGGAGGAACAGGTGCAAAGCAGGGATGCCAGAAGGCTGTGTGGGCTTCTGGAAACTGGAACATGCTCTATAAGCGTTGCTTATAGGGCTTTGGAGTCACAGAGCTGGGTGCCACCCTGGATCCAGCCCTTCAGCTCTATATGCCTTACCTAGATGGGAAAGAAGATGAGAGGTATGGCTGGGTGCCAGAGGCTCACACCTAGAATCCTAGCTCCTCAAAAGGCTGAGACTCCAGCAGAAAAGTCATGAAGACGCTATCTCCAGTTAACCAGAAAGATGCTGGGTTAGGGGGCTGGCTGAAATGATACAGCACCAGCTATGAGCCAGCAAGCGTAGTGAGAGCTTGAGGCTCTGAGTTCAAGCCCTAGCTCAAAGGGGTAGGGCAGACACCAGGGCAAGTTTCAGGGCAGAGCATCCCTAAACCAAGTATCCGCTTCTTTGCTCCCACCAGCCAGGTAGCAGTGGGGTCTAGCTAGGCACAATTAGACTGAGGTGGTCATTCCCTGAAATGCTGTAAGCTGTAAGCAAAGGTATGGCTCAAGTTGTAAAGTGCTTTTAACAGAAAAAAGTGCCCATGCTCTGAGTTCAAGCCCTACTACTGGCACAGGAATAATGAAAAGAAGCCGGGCACTGGTAGCTCAGGCCTGTAATCTAGATACTCAGAAGGCTGAGATCTAAGGATTGTGATTAGAAGCCAGCCCCAGCAAAAAAGTCTCCATGAGACTCTCATCTCCAATAACCTACTCAAAAAAGCCAGAAGTAGGGGCTGGGAAGGTGGCTTAGTGGTAGAGTGCTTGCCTAGCATGTATGAGGCCCTGGGTTCGATTCCTCAGCACCACATAAGCAGAAAAAGCCAGAAGTGGTGTGGTGGCTCAAGTGGTAGAGCGCTAGCCTTGAGCTGAAGAGCTGAGGGACAGTGCCCAGGCCCAGAGTTCAGGCCTCACAATCAGATACCCCCCCAAAAAAAAATGAAGAGGAAGAAGAGGAGGAGGAGGAGGAAGAGGAAGAGGAGGAAGAGGTAACCACTTTTAACTTTTTTTTTTTTTTTTGGTCCGGTCGTGGGGCCTGAACTCTGGGCGTGGGCGCTGTCCCTCAGCTCTTCAGCTCAAGGCTAGCGCTCTACCACTTGAGCCACAGCGCCACTTCTGGCTTTTTTCTTTTTGTTTATGTGGTGCTGAGGAATCGAACCCAGGGCCTCGAGCATGCAAGGCAAGCGCTCTACCACTGAGCCACCTTCCCAGCCCATCACTTTTAACTTTTGTTTTCAGTGCTCAGGGTCAAACTAGGAGACTTGTACCTGCCAGGCAAGGGGCTCTGGGCTCCTACACTCCCAGCTCCACCAGGGACTTTTAAGTGCTGGTTTCCTAGTTCCAGAAAGTTCTCAGTTCCTTTTTTATTTTATAATTTTTATATTATTTTGTATGTTTTATTGTGCTGACAATCAACCCAGGATCTCACACACATGCGAAGCAAAAATAATTGCTTTTATATACAAGCTGTACTGGGGACGTTCCTGAAACGGGTTAACATAAGCTGCTGACCTTTGGAAAGCAAAGCACAGGCTATATTGAGAAAGAGTTGTAATCAAGGCTGGGCTGCCAAGAAGGTTATTTAGGGTACAGTCTCTTGCTTGGTTGTTGTCCAACCCGTGGGCCAGAGGGCTCCTTGGGGTGCTGACATCCCCTGGGCTCTGGACATGCTGGGATTTGGGGGCGAAGCCACAGCCTTCCTCAGCAGGCTGCACCAGTCCGGCCAACTGCTGATTTGTGCTTGTGCCAGGTCTAAATCTGGACTGCAAATTGAATGTGACCCAACACATCCCTTCCCTACTATACAGAAAGGCAAAGTTAATACTGGGCTTCCAGGTAGAGCAGTATCTCCTAGGGGTTGAGAGAGACTTGGGCCTCTCTCTCTCCAGCCTCTCTAAACATTGTAGTATGAGAGGTTGAAAATGTAGCTTAATGGTAGAGTGCTTGCCTAACATGCATGAAGCCCTGGGTTCAATTCCTTGTTACCACATAAACAGAAAAAGCCAGAAGTAGCGCTGTAGTTCAAGTGGTAGAATGCTAGCCTTGGAAAAAAACTCAGGGACAGTGACCAGGACCTGAGTTCAAGCCCCAGGACTGGCAAAAACAAAAGCCTCAGCTGGGCGCCTGTGGCTCATGCCTGTAATCCTATCTACTCAGGAGGCTGAGATCTGAGGATCACAGTTCAGAGACAGCCCAGGCAGGAAAGTCCATGAGACTCTTATCCCATTAACCCCCAGAAAACTGCAAGTAGTACTGTGGCTCAAGTGGTAGAGCAAAAGAACTCCAGTACAATGCCCAGGTCCTGAGTTCAATTCCCATGACAGATAAAAAATAAGTAAATAAAATTTGGAAACATACTTAATTTGCTTGTTTATATCAAAGCAAGGTCTTGCTTGCTATGTAATCAATGCTAGCCTCAGCCTTAGCCTCCTAAGATCGGGAATTTCAGGCATATGCCACCATGCTTGGAAAACTTAATTTTAAATAGTTTATTAACTATATTTTCAAACAATGTGCTCTATTTAATTTACTTAGGTGTTGAGGATGGCCTGGGCTCAATTCCTTAGCACCACATAAGCAGAAAAAAAGCCAGAAGTGGTGCTGTGGCTCTAGAGCTAGAGTGCTGGCCTTGAGCTGAAGAGCTGAGGGACAGTGCCCAGGCCCAGAGTTCAAGCCCCATGACCGACCAAAAAAAAACAAAGAAAGTCTCATCAGCTGGGCACCAGTGGCTCACGCCTGTAATCCTAGCTATTAAGGAGGCTGAGATCTGAGAATCGCAGTTAAAAGCCAGCACAGGAAAGTCTATGAGATTCTTACTAACTTACTACCAGAAAACTGGAAGTGGTACTGTGGCTCAAGTGGTAGAGCAGTCACATTGAGCTGAAGAGCTGAGGGACAGTGCCCAGGCTGAGTTCAAGCCATACGACCAATTAAAAAAAAAAGGGCGGGGGCTGGGAAGGTGGCTCAGTGGTAGAGTGCTTGCCTTGCATGCATGAGGCCCTGGGTTCAATTCCTTAGCACCACATAAGCAAAAAGAAAAAAGCCGGAAGTGGCGCTGTGGCTTAAATGGTAGAGTGCTAGCCTTGAGCTGAAGAGCTGAGGGACAGCGCCCA